CTGGACTTGAGCCTTTTTTAGTTCTCAGCTGTTGTTTGTGGACCTGTTGTCCAAGTGGCCATCGCAGTGATGGTTTGGGCCACGTGAATATTAAATAATTGACATGCATTCACTGGACCTCATTTGCAATTTGGAATTCCATGAGTCAGTTGTTAAAAGAATGAAAATGTATGATTAGTATTGTAATTGGATCAATCAGTGGTAGCCCAGAAATGTTTATTGAAATGAATACATTAATATTTGATTTCACTTTAGCAGAACAACCTGGTAGACTTAATTTAGCACAGTTTCCAGAAATAATTCCCCTTTATGCATGTATTAGCATGAGTTTCAGAGGAAGAGAAGTCTTGGCCATTATTTTGTCCTTAATGTCAATTAGAACTAACTCAATTCATCAGGATTGTGTTGTCATGCTCTGCCCACTTGTGCTGTGCCTCGTGTTTCTCAAATAGTGTGTTCTGCTTTCAGTGCAGTGCACAGGGCTGAAAATATATAACATTGCTCTGTTTGTTGTCTGACAAATCAGTACTTCTGAGTAGTCTATTGGAACAGATGATAGAACAGACTTAAGACCAAAACCAGCTTATTGTTTGATGGGGTTGGTTGGGCAGTGGAGAATGGCTTCGATTTTGATTTTCTCTTAAGAAAAAGAGCATCTTAAAGAATTGTGGCAATTATCTTTTATAAACTTCAGGCTGAAATTGAAGATCAGCAAATATGCAATCTATTATCTAAAATCTATTTGGAATCATGCTCATTTTTCATGAGAAAATGTAGCTGAAAGCACTAAGGAAATACAACTTCTAAATATTTCTTTTAAGCTACTCTGTCAGGTTAACTGCGGCTGTTCTGTAAAGCATAGGGTGATTTATTTTTGTACACGAAGTAAAAGATAATATTGCAGAATGATGATGATCATTCTGATGCAAAAGATTGAACTGGCTGTAAAATGTGAAACAAATTTAAACCATAAACATAATTTTCCTGCCTTCACATGGAACAGGTTTGGAGATTTTCTTTCGAGTTGGAGCGTGTTATTTGTCTTTCAGTGGGAAAATTACAACACTTAATGATTAGCATTCAACATCCATTCAGGAATTATTTGAGTTGTTCTTTAAGGAAATATAAATAGCTCTGCTTGGTCCACCACTGTATCATCTTCAGTACCCTGCATTTAGAAAGTTATGGGAGTAGCATTTTTGTAGTAACTTCTGTTGTCTGAGCCCATTTTATTTAAGCTTCTTAATGGTAGCTATTAAAAGCACCTGCAAAAATATTAGCAACTGGCTTCAGTGTGTTGCTTCCTTAATAAGACAAACACTGGCAAGTCTTTATCTTGTGGATCTAAATGTTTTTCTTGCTGTTTTTATTTACCTTAGATCAAACTGTTTGTAGCTATGTGCTGTATAAAAACAAGCTAAAGTGGAATTGGGAGTTTGAGGTTGCTGTTGTCACATCATATTTGGTTTGTTATTTAGTGAAACCAAGTTAAATACGATGCTGGTGATGTTTGTTTCATCAAAGGTCCCCTGGCATCATAGAATCAACCAGGTTAGAAAAGACCTCCAAGATCACCAAGTCCAACCCTACCGTGGTCACTAGCCCATGGCACTAAGTGCCACATCCAGTCTCAGCTTGAAAACCTCCAGGGATGGGGAATCCACCACCTCCCTGGGCAGCACATTCCAATGCCTGAGCACTCTCTCTGTCAAAAATCTCTTCCTAATATCCAACCTAACCCTCCCCTGGCAGAGCTTGAGTCTGTGCCCTCTTGTCCTGCTGCTGGTTGCCTGGGAGAAGAGACCAACCCCCACCTGACTCCAACCTCCTGTCAGGGAGTTGCAGAGGGTGATGAGGTCTCCCCTGAGCCTCCTCTTCTCCAGACTAAAACTTGTTTACTGTGTTAGGAGCAACCTAATATTTTCACAAAAAGCTTACAGAAGGGACGCTTAAATATTTCAGATGCTTTCCAAAATTTAACTGACAAGAAAAGCTAGTTGTGTTTTAACTTAGTTTTGCTGTGAGTTTCATTCCAGAAATAAATAGATTTAGAAAATGTCTTGGTTTTTACTAACAGCTTTTATTTGCCCTGTATGGAATTGCTGCGACTATCTTTATTAATTTACTCGTATCACAGCATGAAATACTGTTCATTATGATGGAATTCAACAAATTATTAATGTTGGCAGTACTTCTGTGTTCTTTATGTATTTAGTTCATGGTTTAAATGCTTTCATTTACTGTTAATTTAAAAATGCTTCCAGTATTTAGGCCTGGAGAAGCTTCTAAAACTTGGCACTCCCACCAAAATGTTTCTCCATCAGACTTCCTTCTAGTAACTTTAGGACATTAGCAAAACCTCAGTGTCTTACAGTAAGCAAAGTTTCTGAAATGAAACCTCCTTCTCCTAATGTAGCAACAGACTAATAGAATTCTAACCATTATTTTTCCCGAAACACACATTCAGATGCATGTAAGCAGGAGGAAAACCTAATAAATGAATATTTTAAAATGTGTCCTGAGGCATTTAATGGATAGTTATTTCAAACACTGGGTTTGAATCCTTAGGTAAAGTTTATTCTTGTATTTAAGACTATAAGCTGTCCAAAATCTTTTTAAAAAAAAATTAAATAAATAAAGGTTTTGGCTTCAGTTTTTGCTTGTGATGACTAGAAGATATTTTTTTAAGGAAGGTATGTTGGTCTTTTATCTTTTCCTATAAGCTGTTTATGCTAAATGAACCTGCCTTTGCTGTTTATGCATTGTTGGATAAGGTGTTGCATATTTGTTGAACCATAGTAGTTTAACCACTGTTCATTCTGAAACTGAGCCCTTGAGCAAGGATAAATGTTTCCTGTGTTTTTTGATGGTTTCATGATTGAATTAAGTTCTGGCAACATAGAATAGATTTGTGGCTTATATATTAGCATCCAATTTATTTGTAACTTTTACACACTTTGTTGCTACCTGTTCCACCCTCTGTGAACAGGCCTAGGTCTCATCATAGTCTTTCAATCCTTTGCTGTCTCCTCACAGCTCTATTTCATATTTTCTAATTGAGCATCATCTCATGTAGCTGGGCATGAGGAATCAATCATATATGGCACATCTAGTACCAACGTGTGTAGGTAAAAATGGTGCTGAGATCATCCTTCAGTGACTTTCCTTCAATGAGGATCTGATCTGGGCCTTGTCTCCAAGACATCTGATTTCTGAGGGTGCTTGGGGAATTTTCAGGCATCTTGGCAAATTGGGTTGCAACTGGGTAATGAGGTCAAAATTAAATGGGGGCTGAGAAGTGGTAAAGAGAGAAAAGTCTACACTAATTTAAGCTTAGCTTTCTGTAAGAAATCAAACTTGTGGAGGTGGAATAATGCAATACATACATGTTTTTAATCAATCTCCCTCCTCTTCAGAGAATTTTTTTTTGGAGCAGCTAAAATGCCCTAAGTGTTAACACATGAGAGAGAACTATAGAAGCATTCAGACTGAGGAGTTCAAACTAACTTTCTTACTCTGAGGCAAAAATAGAATGAAATTTTAGAAGAAATAAATATTTATCAACACTGTTCTAGGAATACCATAGCTAATTCCTGAGTAACTTGCAGCAGTTCAAAAAGCAGGAGATTTTTGCAGCTTAGTTGCTTGCAGGGATGGAGTAGGCAATGCAGAAAGGAGAAGTATGAAGCTGTGGCTGCCAGCTGAAGTGGGGCCAATCCATAGGCATTTTAAGGATACTAGGCTTCATTTCTAAAATTTGCACTGGAAGTTAAATATAGAAGCACTTGGAGGTTTTTTCCAGCCCTTTCCTGCTCTGGATTTGTTTTAAAAAAAAAAAGCAACAAACCACCATTTCTTAATTTTTTGTTATTAACTGCATAAGTCCCCACTAACTACTTTAACAGTGTGTTAAAATGATTCTCCTTTAGTGAAACTTGAAGTAAGGAAATGCCTTTTCCTGTTTTGCTTTGGAGATTTACTTTATTACCACCAGCCTGAAAATAAAAATATTATGATGCTTCAAGAAAAATGGTAGAAGTCCAAGTGAATGAACTTAGGTTTACAAATATACTAGTGTAAGGTATTCCAAAGAACATCCTGATAAAATGCTCTCACTATACAATGTTTTGCCATGAAAGGCTTTGCTATAAGATGCTTTGCTACTTTCCAATGGTTTCTCTGTATCAGTTCTATGTCCTTCCTTTTACAATAATCACTGGGTCAAACTACCCAACCTATGTATGTTTGTGGTACTTTGTGTATAAAGTACTAAAAACAACGTTGAGACAATGCTGCAATAGGAGTAAAGTCATATGATCAAGTTAACATATGAATGAAACAAAGTGTTAGTAGTAGTTTCTGCTAAGAAACATCACAGTAGGGAAGGGGGAAAAAGTAAGATTTAAGCAGTAAGTGTAGGTAGATGTGCTAACCACTGTTCTGTTTCAAAGGTACATCATCTGCCACCCCATGCCGAGACGCAAACAAACAATTACAACAAGTGTTTGAATATACAGAAAATAAACCACCACAGAAGAGATCTAGGAGGAAGCTGATGGACTCTCCAGTCACAGCTGCAAGTCCAGCTGAATCCAGGCAATTTGGTCTCCAGCACCTGGAGGATTCTCTCACCGAGGAAGTCTGCCCCATTTTGTACACACCGGAATCCTGCAGAAAGGCAGGACCAAGCTGCTGTACAGAGACTGTGGTAAAGAAGCCTTTGCACCTGGCAGGCCTAGAGGAAGTCAACATCTCTAGTATGGAGACACCAGTCACAAAGGCTATTCTGGACACTACATGTGATGTGATCCCAGAGTGCCCTGAAGGCATCATGAACTCAACAGTAATTATCTACGAAGGTACAGATGAAACAGCTGAAGTGTCTACTGACTCGTCTGTGAAGGAGCCACAGTTGCTCAGCAGCAGCATTGTGCAAAGGTATTTTCATAGGATCATAGGATTTAGGGGTTGGAATGGACCTTACAGATCATCCAGCACCAATCCCCTGCCCTGGGCAGACACTTCCCACCAGATCAGGTTGCTCAAGGCTCATCCAGCCTGGATTGAACACCACCAGGGTTGGGGCAGCCACAGCCTCCCTGGGCAACCTGGGAGAGTGTCTCACCACCCTTAGAGTAAAAAACTTTTTTCTCACATCCAGCCTAGACTTTCCCTCCTTCAGTTTGAACCCATTGCCCCTTGTCCTATCATTGCAGTTCCTTTTATATGGGCAGGGAGCATTACCAGATCATTTATTCCTGTTTATCTTCACAGCTGGGTCCTTCCATTTACATCCATTCTATTTGTAAACCCTCAATTTTGATCAACATCAGATTCAACTGTGACATTATTTGAAGTCAGTGGTATGTCAGTGGCAACAAATGATGCTGAAAGCTTATCCTGTTGTGTAAAATATGTCCCAAAAAGCAAACACAGCACTTTGAAACTGCCTGTGATGCCTCAGGCAGGTTAGTTTCTCTAAGCCTTAGGCTTCCTGTCTGTACCATGGGTCCTTTAACCTCTCCACCCTGAGAGCTGACATGCCTAAAGCTGTTGTTTGTGTCAAGTCCTGCAAAGCTGCCTCAAGTAATGTCATTGACATGATTTCCAGTATTGTTTTTCAATGTAACATATCTTTATTTACCATTAACAACAAATTCACTTGACTTTTACCAGGAACAGGTTTGAACAAAATACAACTCTTTTATTTCAGACTTGATCTCTCTTCCTTAAGAACCAAAACTTCTACTTCAACAACTGAGACCCCCTCGTACATGGCGATGACTTCTGCTGCTCAGAGGAAAAGAAAGGTATTAAGGTAAGATTAAACTAAGTCTCCTATACAAAATGAGTTTGTATTAATTTCTTATGTTCTTTAGTTGAGTTTTGGTGTAACACTTTAAATCTGAAAACATCTTATACAAGTCATCTGGAGCTGCATATGACATGTTCTGCTTCAAATATGTTTGAATTCAAGTCAATTTTTTATTTTTCCTGGCAAGTTCAGTAGAATTTTGGGTTTTTTTCTTTTGGGAATTTCTGGTTTAATAGTTACAGATAGCATTTCCTTTCCTTTCTCCTTTTTTCTCCTTTTATCTCTCATGCTTTCCCTGCTAGAAGTGGTTAACTTCATTCATCTCCTATTAACATTAGGATAGAAATAAAAATTTCAGACCTATTGTCTACATCAGAAATTTAATTTGAAACATTTGTATTTCGTGGCTAAGGGACAAGAGAAGTCAATCATAGTAAACTACTTTTGCCATACATTCATACTGACATAAGTTCTCTTCCAAGGAAAAATGCATACATGGATTTTTAGGACTGGCACAAGGCAAGTCTTAGTGTTTGCTGCTTGCTGTATATTTTCATTTAGTCAGAAAATTATTATAAAGAAATTTAGTGTAAGTTAGGGAACTATAGAGTGGGAATAATACAATATTTATTAGGGGAATAGGAAAAATATAGAAACTTGACATAATTAGCAGTAGCTTGTTTATGAGGTTGTCTTGCAGAGTGGAACTGGGGAAGTTTGTGAGGAGATTGCAAAAGGCTGAGATCAGATAGGTTCATAATTTTCACTGTAGGCCTTAAGTCCATCACATAAAAGGCTATAAAATATAGAGGTTTTGTCTTAATGAATTTGAAGCTGGAACAGCTTTCTTGCAGCTTAGCTAGAAAGTGTTGTGTGCTATGAAGCCTCCCCCTCCAGCTGTGTGGGGGCTGTAGGGAAGTTATTGTGGCAATAAAAAATGTGATTTGTCCCATAAACACAGCTTGGTCATTTCAAGGGCTTGGTAACATGCCTTAAGATTCTGTCTGAGTATAATCTGTGTGTGATGACCAGCAAAGTGGTTTCTGCGGTTTCCAAAATCACTGTGGCATGTTGCTCTGCATTTTAACACAAATGGCAACATTAGTTCTTGTTTTCACAGTTGGAATGTTCTTGTAAATTTCTCTAAAGGAAAATGGAGAATAATATCCATTTCCATGCACAATGAATTAGATCAGGCTTTGCATTCCTGTTAGGATTCTGTGAACGCTGGATAATATCACTTAGTGTGTTTGTACATTGCAAGGCCTCAACTATGAAGGAGGGGAAGCTTAGCTTAGATATTAGAAAAAGGGTTTGTACTCTAAGGGTGGTGAGACACTGTCCCAGGCTGCCCAGGGAGGCTGTGGCTGCCCCAACCCTGGTGGTGTTCAATCCAGGCTGGATGAGCCTTGAGCAACCTGATCCAGTGAGGAGGTGTCTCAGACCATCCAGCCCCAACCCCTGCTCTGGGCAGTAATGTCCATTCTGACCCCTAAATTCTCTGATTCTAATTACTGTGAGATAGCTTGATCACTGTACTGAAAACAAACTTTTCTGGCTGCTCCTCCAGCTCCACGTCGAACACTCCGCTGAGCAGTCTGCAAGGTCTCAGTTCTGCCAAACGTGTCCGACAGAGTGTCCCCCTGAGCTGCTCAGCTTTGCAAACACCTGAGATGGCAAGTAAGTGGCAATTGAGTCTGGTCATTGACTTTCTAGGCAACTAACTCACTGAATTACTGAGCAGAGAGTGATTACATCTCTGCGTATCGAAATGAGGCTTTCAATTCCGGCCAGAAATACATGTGAAAATTCTCAGACATACTCTGAGAAGGAGGTTCAGGTGGTCCAGATTCCCCTTCCGTTTATTGCACAAGTGTCTCCTGTTTCTAATAGCATTTCTTTCTTCTCTAGGAATGAAAATAAAGAGCAGGAACCAAGAACAGACTATGCCCAGAAACTTCCTTAGAAGCCTTTCTCAAGGAAATGTCGCGTTGGGCGTTAAATCAAGGACATCAAGAAGTCTTTTACTTCGTGTTTCCAAGAAAAAAGGCAGGATTTAGTTCTGAGCTCAGCCGTGTTTCAAGGAGGGTTGGTGGATAGCAAACGAGAATAAAGTGACTTTTCCTCTTGTAAATAGTTTTGAGAGTTTTGTGATACAAACAGTAGAAAACTTGTGCTGATCCACTAAATTATTTTCCTTGGAGCTTCTTTATGTAAAAATTGTTTTCCATTTGGAAGCAAGTTAAACAGGTGTTAATGTTAGAACATGGTCATGCTTAGCATGGGATACCAGTTTTATTCTTAGCTTGTTGATATCTGTTGATGATAACATAGGTAGTTCCAAGAGACCAAAATATTTACAAAAAAAAACGTTTTTAATGAATTGTTTCTGCCTTTCTGGTTTTTACTCCGTTCCTTGGTTGTAAATGTTCCCATTCAGTTTAATTCAACTGTAAATAGGATTGTGTTAATAACTTCAAATAAATTTTTAATAAGAGCACTATAATGTGAATTGAATTTCTAGCTAAACAATGTAATTTTTTTGCCTCTTATGCAAAGTATCTAAATTAATTTGACAAGTATTGTTCCAAGTACACAAAGTTATGATGTATCTTCTGGTAACTGGTTAATATTCAGACACAAAGTTGGGAGGAGGTTGGAGTCAGGTGGGGGTTGGTCTCTTCTCCCAGGCAACCAGCAGCAGGACAAGAGGGCACAGACTCAAGCTCTGCCAGGGGAGGGTTAGGTTGGGTTCTATGATGTATATGACATGGGAGAAATTTGCATTTTAAAGAGAACATAGGTGATGTGGCTGTGGTGAGCATGGGGCTGTGCTGGCAGCATAATGAGAGCTGGGAAAATATTGGCTCAGGAAAAGGCTTTGATAAACATAGCTCTAAGCATCATAAAAGACTAAAAACTAACATTTGGGACTTGCTCTCATAGCAAGGTGATGTATTTTCGGTGGAATAAAAGGGGGAGGGTTGTTTTAATAATTTTCTCTCATGATGAACAACATTTTGGAATTAATTTAAACTTAGGATTTTGATACCTGATACAGCTAAAGTTTTAAGGACTATTTTTGATTGATGGGATTGTTTTCAAATTCTGTGTTTAATATAAAATGTGTACAGGGAACTTTTGTCCATGCTGCTTCACGTCTCAAGAGGCATCTTGTGTTTTGTTTATCAATATAGTTGTAGTGTTCATTGCTCTTGTGGCATGTAAGACTTACCCATAAATGTTCTTAGCAGTTTTGAAAGGTTTTTAGACAAGCTTATGCATGCACTGTTTTGATACTCAGTCCAAGCTTAAAACTGATGAGATCTCATCCTTCTTGATGTGTCTTGCATACCCTTGAGTGGAATTGGTTCAATTGCCTTGTGACACCTCCGGGGACTAAAAAAACAAGAAAGTATGTTGAAAAAATTAACACACTGAGACGAGAAGTGATTCAATCAGATGTTGATTATATATTTGTTAGCTAGGTATGTATTTACCATTTGTGTCTGGCATAAATGAAATGTTTCCAGAGATTATAACAGATTGAAGCAAGATTTTTGTATTTCAGCTTGCTGTTGAGTAATATCCTGCACTACTGATTGTACATTTATCTTGTTGCATACTGTGTGCACATCCAGACCTCATAAGTAGAAGGTGCTTCAGAGCACATTCCACACACAGTGCTGGTACAGAACTTTTCACAACTTTTCAGTGCCTAATCAGTTGTGATTTTTTTTGTCAGATTGCCAATTAGGTAGAAAGCAAAGAGTATTTGGGAAGCAGTAGAAGTCTAGTGTAACTCATTTCCTTGCTGATCTACAGTACTTGGTAGCTCTTGGCCTGTGTTTGCAAACTGATTTAAGTAATAGCCATTATCTGGGGTGTGCATTTCATTGATTTCACTCTGGTTTACCATGCAGGGTTAAATTATCTCGGTGCTGCAAGTGTGGAAAGGATGTTAAAAGTCTTGTTCCACTGGGAAGTCCTTAGGAAAACATGCCCAGGCTGTAGGGTGTAGTTTGTACTGTGACTCACTTGCTTATTGCCATTGCAGGGAGTGAATTTATAGGAGCTACTGAAGGCATAGGCTTTGGGAGGCTGTGAGGATTTGCTGCTGGAGATGGGAGTTGGATGCAGGAGAAGGAAAATTAAGAGAACAATATTGTTGTCAGAGAGCCATTCCAAAGGAACTCTGTGCTCTCATGTTTGCAAACCATGACTTTCAGCACAGACAAATAGCAAATATGTCAGTTATTCCTTGAGTAACTACCTCTAACTGTGCTTCAGCATATTTGTGCCTCATGTATTCAAAAACCAGGCCATTGGTTTCTAGAGAACTGTTTGTTACAAGCTGTTGTTACCCTGAGAGTAGCCAAAGACTTGTGCAAACCTATATCCAGAGACACCTGTAGATTTCTACAGGTTATATGAAATGGGGTGATTCTTGGGACTCTCCTGTGCTGGGCCAGGAGCTGAACTTTGATTGTCCCTGTGGGTCCCTTCCAGCCTCAGAAAGTCAGATCTGCTGTCCTGCCAAGTGGACAAAGCACAAGAGCTTGGTTGGATTATCAGGGAGAGTCGTTCAGGGTGGTGGGAGAAGTTTCCCTAGCAGGTACCTGGTGATAAGGCACATTTGGCACATCCTCTCCTGAGGCAGCTGAGTCTCTTGTACCTGTAAGTTTTGGTGCTTTGGCTGCAGAAGGCAGCAGGTACTATTTGGAAACCTGACAACCCAATGTAAAAACAGACTGATGTAAGCAAAGTTGTCCACTAAGAAACCAGTTGGACTCCTCAGTAGTTTTGTTTCATTTTGATTGGCTTTTTGAAACTGTGAGTCTGTAAATAGGCACGAGGAAATTAGTTCTAACAACTAGAGAAAGTAAACATTCTTAGAAAATTCATCCACTAGAAGCATAAAATATGTAGTGTTCCCTGCAGGAAATTCCAAGAGCTGCCTTAATAGTGAGTAGGTGTAATGGTAAATGGCCCATTTCATTTTTCTACTATATAGTGATCTTGGAAAAATTATTCCTGATTTCCCTGTTGTTTTAAGTTTAATTGTGCTATACACATCAGGTCTTCAGGTTTTATGTAGCATGACTATTGTACATCTGAGATCTGCAAGGGAGTGATTGAATCTAACATTTATTAGAAGCTACAGTAGAACAAATCACCCTTTAAAAAGTGTTTAACTAAAGCAATGTTCGTTTTGTCATTTGAATTTTAGTCTGCTTCATTGCTGGCTTAGTTTCTGGCTGTATACCTGTAGTTATATTTCACAAAGTAAGATGACAAAAATGCTGTTTTCACAGCTAACTAGCAAATACACTTAGAGATTACTGTACCTTGCATTTCATTGAAGCTGTTGGTTCATTCACTAAGAGATGTTTTCAAAAAGAGAAGATATTTAGGCAGACTAACTCTGGATATTATAGCAGTTCTGTACTCTGAAGGAGGCTGGAAAACTAGTGAATGAGTTAACCATATTAACCTGAAATATATTTGCATTGAAATTCAATAGCTAAATTCCTGTTTTTCATCCCAACCTGCATCAAGACCAGGACAAAAGGGAACAGTCTTTTAAAAAAGCAGGAAACACCATAGTGATTAGAGACTTGATCATGTGTAGGTGAAAGTGTCAGGAGGGAATATGATGCAGATTACACCAAAACCAATGCCTGAGCAGCACGGAGGTGATGCCTCAAAGTTTATCCATCCCTCTCTAATATGCTCACAATCTACAGCCTTTGTAAGAGCAGGGTGGAAGGGGAAAAGCCCAGAAAAGTCACTGATTTACCTAGAAAAGGGAAACTAAAACAAAAGAGCATGTTTAAAAAGAGGCAGATAAATGCTGAAGCTGTTCACCTGAGGTATCTACCAAATCAGCCTTTGTGGGTAAGGGCAGGGAGGTGAACAAGTGCTTCAAAAGCCAAATAAAGGATAAGGTTAGAAATCAAAATCTGTACCTTCCAGTGTTGGAAGTAAAAACGTGGAAGCTGTGAGGAAAAAGCAAAGACAATCTGAAATAAGAAAGTTTTAAAAGCATTTGCAAAAAGTGCAAGTTGATAATGAAATCCTTCTCTACCTGTGCAAGGGCTTGATGCTCAGTAGAAAAAGCAGTTGGAGAGAAAAGGCCATGATAGAGATGTTAAAGGTGGTAGAAATCTTACAGGAATTCCTGAGATAAGTTAAATGAGAGTTGTCTTGGCAAGAAATAGATCCATTTGCCATTTGAGGTTGAAGCATTCCAGAACACCCTGATCCAGCTGTCAGGGTCACCCACTCGAGGCCAAGACTGCTGTGCAGAGCTGGAGGAAATGTCCAGCAGACCATGGTCAGTGCTCATGGCTTTATTTCTGCTGTTTCCATTGGTATCTGCTGAGAGGTGCTGGTCCAGAGAGAAGGTTGGGCTATATGGACTTGCTTTCCAAATATGGTTCTGAGGAAGGAAGGATAGCAGAAAATCAGTGTTAAAAAAAAAAAAAGATAAAAATCAGTTGTTTGCAATTCAAACTGATTTTCCCCCAAAGAATCTCTCTGATACTGCCCTGTCTGTGTCTTTTGCCTTAGTTTCCAAACATATCTCTTTTGCATCTTCGTTATTCTAAGAGTAATTGTTGAGGTCTTGCTGTAAGATTTGAGTGTTTGTTTGGAGACAACTGAAGCTTGATACTGAAAAATGTTGAACACATGCAACATTTTGCATTCACAGCAGCAACTGGTGTAATCAGGCTCTTTTCTCTGAGCATATAAAAAGGCTTTAAAAAACCTTAGCTTTTGGAAAACTCAGATCCTTAGACTTTCAAAATTGGCAAACAAAATTAGCTGACACTCTGAACATTTTGGCTTTTATCTTAAATATTCCATTCCCCTTGTGTAAAATAGTGATAAAATTATCCTCTTACTTCAAAAGGGTGTTGGGAGGATCAGTTCATTAATGTTTTCAAAGAATTCAGATGCTGTAGTGAAATCACCATTCAAAATCCCATAAGGAAATTAATAATTCTGTGTTCATTGTAGGCTTTGGGTTATGGTAAGTCAATAAGACATAATATAC